TGACGTGTTTACTGGCCAAATGGATGGGGGGGGGGGTTGGTTTCTACAGTGGGAACATGCCACAAAAGGCCAACGGATGCGTTTTCTCTCCTCTAACGGTCTTAACATTCATTTATTTTTAAACAGGTCCCTTTCAAAGGTCAAAATGGTGGAGGCGGACCGTCCTGGGAAGCTGTTCATCGGCGGGCTGAACACAGAGACAAACGAGAAAGCGCTCGAAGCTGTGTTCGGCAAATATGGCCGCATAGTAGAAGGTGAGGAGTCTCGTCGGGTTTGGGGGGAGTTTTGCGGGGGGATGCTAGTGAAATTGTGCAGTGATGAACTTTCTGGCATTGATCGGCTGAAATGATGCTGCTGTTTTGTCCTCTAAGAAGTTCTGAGCGATTTGGTGTCGTAGGTAGGCCATGTTCATGGGACCGATCGTCGAGTAACGTTTAGTTTTATACTTGCAGTTCTCTTGATGAAAGATCGTGAAACCAACAAGTCCAGAGGATTTGCTTTTGTCACGTTTGAGAGCCCAGCAGACGCGAAGGATGCTGCCAGAGACATGAACGGAAAGGTAGGATCTTGGTGCTGTATTGTATTGGTGTCACTTTACTCGACAAGCCCAAATATCCTCTAAGGCCCTAGCTATCAGGCAGGTAGGAAGATGCCTGATGTCTTCCGTTTGAATTTAACAGTTTAAGTATCCCATTTGCTTCCCACATAGCAACTGGCGCGCACACTTTTTTATTCTTATTCTGTTTTTCTCCCTGTCCAAGACTTTGTAGGTTAGAAGAAAAACTTTCTGCTAGATCAAAGCACAGATAAATAACTTCTCTGTTCTTGGAAAATCATAATGCATGAAACTTTAGTAATTAATGAAATGTTAGTTGCTTGTTCTGTCTTTCTACTGTTCCTTTTGCTTTTCTGGTAAAGCAAAAAAAAAAAAAAAAAAAGTCACATAAAACTAAACTTGGTGATTAAACCACATTCACAGATGTGACTTTCATTGAATAGGTCAGATGCTCATGATCCCTTCGGTGGGAGAGAGGCCAGTGTTTTGTGATCACACACAGAACCCAACCACCCCAGCAATTTTCTAATCTTAATATCTCTTGCTAATTTCTTCCATACTTGGAAGCTGAGAGGTATTTTATCTGTTTAGAAACATCTTCACAAATTTGTTGGTTAGTTACCAAACTTGAGGTGTGAAAGCCAACATGACTTAGCAGCTCTGATGAAGAGAATTTTGAATAACCTCATCTCAGCAATATGTAGAGAACTTCTGATTTTAATTCTGTTGTTCTTAAACCATTTCTAGAAGAAAAGGCTTTGATTGAAATGAATGCTGGCATACCTGGCCACTGACTCTTAAATCAAGGGCTTGTTTCCAGCCAGGTTTGGATTGAGAAGTTGATCCATTCACCATTATAATTAGCCCCACGGTTTTCAGTGCCTGCACATCTGGGCAGGGTTTGTGTTGAAATGCAGGCTTCAGCCTTTCTCTGAGATGTGTCCACTCGAATGTAACTGATAGGCTTCCCCGCCATTTTTGACCAGCCCGGAGTCCTCTCTCTCTTAATGCCCCTTGTCAAACTTTACAGGATTCTCTGCTGATATATATTGTCTCTGCATTTCATATGTTGAAATTTGGTTAAAGTACTTTACATTGTAGTAACTATAGCAAGTAGCTCCAAGTCTTGAGCAGAGCACATAATAGTAGTTTTAAAAGGAAAAAAAATGTTGGTTAAAATATCTGGCCTACTTCCTTATTTTTGCCCTTTAAACTTAAATGCTAATAGCAGTAGCTTGGCTCTCCAGAATTGTGCATGCATGCGCTCTTAATCATTATGAACTACTTTATAACAGTGCCTCCTCTGATGTAACAGCATTGGAATGAATGGCAGTGAGGCAATCTCTTCTGTGTTCCTTAGGGATGTCTTTTGCACTAGAATTTACTGTAGACTATGCAGTCTCTTGCAATCCTGAGAATTGCATATCACGGCTCACAGTAGCCTTAAACTCCACTTTAAACTAGGGAACAATTGCATGATTATTTGTAGGAACTAAAGGCAGTAGGGATTAGTGATTGATTGGAGTTGGTCACTAATCCCTGTGGAATTTGTGTTGAGTACAGCTGTCTAAAACTAGATCTTTGAAAACAAATTACTGCTTGTTCCTGTCTTGTGTGATAGTCTGCATTTGGTCATGCTTGAAATTTGTTTAGAAATCGTGCCCCTATGATAGCTAAAATAGACCAGTTCATAGGAGCATATCTATTTAGGGTGGCTTCTGCTTGTCAAGGTTTTGGGATGCAATCCTGAGCTCCAA